TAACAAAGAGGTTCTCAGTAAACCAAATTGTGCATAGGCCAGATATAAACAACCTGGTTGGTAAGCGGGTGAGAATCCCTTTGTTCTTACCTTTTGGATCATTTACTGGTGGTCTTGCTTAGAAATGTGGTGACTCAGATAAGTGACTAACGTTCTCTCCAGCTCTTCTTGAGCTCTCCCCACCCAGCCAGCACCACCAGCAGTAGGAGTAAATGTCTTGTTTCCTCAGTTGCTACTTAGAAATTTAGCTTCCCTAGCCTTCCTTCAAGGCCTTCCCACCCACCTGCCACATTTAACTCAAAGGGCAAGGTCAGCTCAGGAGTAACTTGTTTCCAAAACCATTTTTGTGAGTATATTAAAGATGATGCATGCCATGGTTTGTTCACCATCAGGAATTCTCATTGCTGGTATATGGCAGCATTTCCAATATTCAGTCTTAAGGAAAAATAACTTGCGATGAGAGAGAGAAAGGGAGAAGCAGCAGTTGGGCAGGAGAGTGGATAGAAATGGAGCCAGTGATGAAGGAAGAATTGGAGAATTGATAGCTCCGGAGTAATTGTGGAGTTCAGCCTTTGGGGAATGTAACCCTCATCAGTGAAAGTGTGAGATGTGGTCACAATGACTGTGACTTGTGTCCACTGGCCCCTGATCATGAGGGTAATGTGTAGGCAGGAGTGTGGAAAGAGTTTATGTGGGAGAAGCAGACAGACTGTGAGAGGGGAAAATCGTATACCTGCCAAGGAAAGAGGTCTCCACTATTTTGAGCCCTGGCCACATTACTTTGTTGCTATATTCCCTATGTAACATTTTAAATTCCTTTCTTTGTATATCCTCTAACCACAGTTACTTTTGAGACTTTAAGGACAGTTAAGCCCTTTCTATGTAATATTTGGGGACCTTTGATCTAAAATGACAAGGACTAGGGTCAAGGCTAGGAGGTGGCCTTGGCTCGATGCCCACAAACCTGGACAGGAATATGATGATTGGTTCTTGGGGAAGAATATAGGTGCTTATCTAGAAGTCAGAACTTCTGAGTTCTAGACCTGCCTTTGACCTTAGAAAAGCAAATTACCCTTTTTGAGTACAGTAAGTCTTCATTTAACATTGTTGTTAGGTTCTTGGAATTACGGCAAAACCAATTTTACCGTAGGCTAATTGATATAAATGAGTTGTTCTTTTTTGTTGTAACAAAAAGGGTGTTGAACAAAACGATGTCATTCAAGGACCTGCTGTAGAGGCAATGAAGGCTAATTTTCCCCTTGTATATGATTTTTATGAGGTTAATTGAAAAAACAGCATACTTATTACAGTCCTGGTCTTGAATTTCTCTTCTTCATCTATCTTGCCTTTACCCCATTCCCCTTCAGCATACTGGCTTGCCTTTGAGGAATGCAAACATATCTGAATGTTGCTCCAAGCCTGGGCAACACCCCTGTCTGTGGTGGTAAACGTGCTATAATATTCCTGAACAAAGATTGTCGTCCTGTTCGGGACTGTCTATGCTGTGCCCTCCTCTGTTCTTATGACTCAGAAGTTAAACATGTGGTTCATATGGGTCCAAAGCTGCGCTCTCTAGCGTAAGCCACCCAGACTTGAATCTTCCATCCCACTTGTCTCCTTTCCCCCACAGGACCCTTTTGGAGAGAAGCGGGGCCACTTTGACTACCAGTCCCTCTTGATGCGCCTGGGACTGATTCGTCAGAAAGTGCTGGAGAGGCTCCATAATGAGAATGCTGAAATGGACTCTGACAGCAGCTCCTCTGGGACAGAGACAGACCTGCATGGGAGCCTGAGGGTTTAGACCCTGCTCCCCTCTCCCTTCCTCCCACTTGAGAGTCCCAGCAAAGTTCCTTCCCCCTACCCCACGGATGGAGAGGCACTGTGTATCTCCCTCCAAACGTGACGTCATCCTGCAAGATGGCAAGAACCAAGCAAGCTTGGATCCCAGAGTGTGGGAGTGGGGAAGCTGTTCCCGACCTGACCTCCTTGGCTCTCGAGCATCTGGGGCTATATTCATCCCATATCAGGGGCCAGGGTACCTCTGCAGGAGCACCTAGGGCGAGGGCCTCTGGCAAAAACAAAACAACCAACACACCTCTCCACAGGGCCAGCTCCTTAGGGATAGATGGGAGACAGAAATTGCAATTCCAGGAGAGGGTGTGCCCAAATGATTTATGGGGATATCTGGAAGGGAGCTCGGGGTGGGGGGCTGTCTGTGACACTTAAGCAGTCTGGGTGGTTGTCTGTCTGTCTCTCTTCAGTCTTGAAGCAGGGCTTCCCAATGCCCTTTTCCTCCCTGCCTCTCTTCCCCCATTATTTCCCATGGGCCAGCATAATTTTGTTTTTCCTAATTTATAGTCACTGTTCTAGACAGACCAAAGAGAAGGAACAGTGGTGGAGTCTAGGCTGCTGATCAGTAAGCTTTACCTAGCACCTGAGCACCTTTCTCTTCTGCGCCCCCATTCCCTCACCCATTTATAGATTTAAGACATAAGGTAAATGTGACAGACTGAACCAAGGTCTTGGTAAAGCCTGCACAGGCACCGTAAGAAGCTGAAAATGCTGTTTATTCCCACAATCACTGATTTGAAAAGTTTCCAACACAGGCAGCTGCTGTGTGTATGGGATTAGAGCCACTACATAGAATAGTCTCTTACAGATTTTCATAAATACTAGTCACGATGAGGGTATTTCTCGGGGTGAGGTGAGGGGGGAGACTGATGCTAGTCCTATTGTATTTTATTTGGCTGTCCTTGTGTATTTTCACCCCAGCCTGTAGTCCTCCCCTTCCTCACGTCAAAGCCCAGGGACTTATGGGGAGCAAGGGTAGCCAACAGCCTGGAAGATTGGGGCTGGGACTCTGGAGACTCCTCCCCTTCTCTTTCTTCCCCCCTCCCTCCCAGCTGCTCTTTGTCACTGACTCTGATGGGTGTTTGCCTGGCTGTGTCGCTTCTCTATCTGTATTTAGCTGCAGTGATCCTTTAGCTGGTTGGCTCAGAAAAATGTGCTTTAGGTGCCCTGTAATACTGGGCGTTGAGGGAATCATCTTTCCCCTTTCTGATGTGTTCTCCCTGTTTTCCAGATTATTACTGTTATGGCTCCCAGTGGGGTATTGGTGACCCATGTGACACAGGGCCCCCCCAGTTAGTATCCTGCCACATTTAAGGGAGAGGATAGCTTGTACCTGCTCTGCCAGCTGCTATGGAGGCCTCTGCCTTGTGGATCATGGGACTTCCCTGGGAGAGTTGGGAAGGGGGTTGGGCACAAAGGAGAATGTCCTACTTGGGAGGGCAGGAAGCAAAAAAACTGGACAGGAAATGGGTCTGGGGATCGGAAGTTTATCTTGTGTATCTGAAGGCTGGGTCTTTTCGGAAGAAGAGTCAAAAAGAGACCCTGCTTCCAATTTCCCTCTTCCATTCCCTGAACTAGTGCAGGGCTTAGAAGAATGCCCTTGGTCTGTTGATCCAGTGTTGTCTGTCATCCACTTAAGTGTTCCCACTTTCAAGTGACAATCCTCTCCTTGGCCCTACCATGGGCAGAGTATGTCTGGCATACTGGCCTGACTTTTACGCCCTAATCTTGAGTTGAGGAAATATATGCACAGGAGTCAAAGAGATGTCTTTATATCTGACTGTACATAAATGAAGTTTTTTTTCTTTTTGGTGCAATAAAGTTTGTTTTGGCAGAAGGAGGAAGCGCCTGTGGGTGTGGGAGGGTTTGTGTAAAGGAAAAATGGGGTCATCCTGACAACTACATACCTCACCTAGGCCAGAAACTGTGAGGACAAAGTGCTCAGTGACTTGTCTGGAAGCTGACAACTTGGGTTAAATGATGTGGATGGGAGCAGGACTATTGGTGACAAAAGTTTTCTACCATCGAGAAATGGGGTCCTTATGAGGCGGTAGCTCTGGCAGTCAAGGAGAGGAATGCCATCTTAGCCTCAGTTACTTCCAAAGAAGTACCTGCCCAGAAACTGGAAAGTGAGGGTAGAAACTATACATCCCCTGTTAAGACTGTCTTAGCCCTGGTGTCTAAATGTGGATGATCCAAACCATTGGGTTTTCAGTTTTCTACTACTAAACCAGGGCTCCTTAGGAATTTAGGAGAGTATGAAAACTGGCTCCTAGCTCATCACCGCCTTTCTTGCTATCAGAGGCTCTTTCGGGTGCAGAGGCTTTCCTCTTGGCCGACCATTTGTGTAGGAAGAAGTTACACCATGTCCTGCCAGCCTGTCCTGTGCAAAAGTGTGGGCTCAGGTAAGTGGACCTAGGCTTTGGTTCTGCTTCTTAAGCTGGTGGTCCCTAGTAAATTAGATTGCTCACCTGCAAAGTTAAGGATATCTATTTCAACTTTTAAGGTGGTTGTGAGGATTAAACTGGACACAGGATAAGTGTTCAGTAAATGATTTTTCCCACCACTAAGGCTAGAGGGACCTGGTGGTTAGTACAGAAGGAAAAGCTAGTAGGGAATTTGAGAAACTACTACATTCATTATTGGTTGATTCCCCTCAAATTCCATTCTTCCCTCTAATCTAACCATTTATCATTAACCTCTATTCCCTTCACACTCACAGCTGAGTCTGTCATAACCTGGAATCCTTGCAGAGGAAGCTGGAAGAGTGAATATTTACTATAGTCCATTAGGATCTGCATTTGAGATGTAAGGAACATTTATAAGGGAGAGGTTTGAATTAACACAGGCTGTAATTTGTCTCAGGGCTATAAGGAGAGTAGACGGTCAAGCTGGAAGACATGGCCTTCATTCTAGGCCCAGCTCTACCATGGACTTGTAGATGACCTGTGCAAGTCATTTTATACATGCTCGCTGTTACCTTTGTTACTCAGGTTACCCTTACTGGATAAATGAGGTTTTCTCCAATAAAGATGCAATGTGAAGGCACTTTAAAAAATAAAATAATGGGAGAAGAATATTGGGGCAAGAAAAAAACTTGGAACATTATTTTGTGTTTTTT